TGTATTACATTACATTTAATGTTTATTTAAATCATCAACATATATTACATTACATTTCTACTTCAGATATACTAATAATACATTCTAATAATACTAATATATCCTAAAAATAGCAGATTGTCATTGGCAACGGCAAAAGAGTGGAAACATCATTCGCACTTGTTCGAAGAAAGTCCATTGTTAGTCTCACGTAACTGCCGAATGGAAAGTCCGTTGTTCGCAGCAAGTCCGTTGCTCGAGTCACGTAACGGTCAAACAGAAAGTCCGTTATTCGCAGCGTCCGTTATTCGAGGCGTACGTTATACGAGGCACCACTGTACTTTTAAGATGTATTCTGTAATATTATTTTCTAAAAATAATGTAGTTATTAATTTAATTTATTAATCATAATTTGGATATATTAAATTTTAATACTTTCCTCTTTTATACTTTAAAATTATCTCTTTGAAATCAAATTATAACTATCGGAAATAAAAAAATTCGTTGAGAATAAATTTATCTACATGATAGAATTTTTTGTATTTATTTAGTTAACAATAAATAGTTCTAAAAACCCAATATTTCATCAGATTTTTTAAAAAATTTTTTGTCCTGAATTGAACAAATTTACATTCATAACACGTCTTTTCATTTTTAAATCTTATTTACTAATATTTTATAATATATAATTATTATATTTAGATTTCTGTGTTGTGGCTGCTAGAATATGCCAGTGCAAAATTTTATTAAGTTATAAAAGTAAGTTTTTCAATTATTATAGTTATAATTATATAATAGACAAAATTTAAAGACAATATTTGTTTTATGGTATATTTTCCAGAAAGTTTTATCACAAGGAGATCAGCAAATGACTTGGTCCGTGCCTCACATTTCAGGACATCAAAAACCTTGTCTGTGCTTTTTTCAATCACCGAAAGGTTCTGTTTTTGATACTGAACAGAACAGAAAAAGCTCTACAGTATAGTTTAATACTATTTGATTTAGCACTTCATACGAAAAGTAAATGTATTATTATAATATAAGAATTTATATAGCATATATATTAATATATGCTATATAGTTATGACAAGATACATTAAATAAGATCAATATTAAATAAAATATACTTTATTTTG